AGGTCAAAATCAGTCTGTTTTATTACTCCAGGGCTTGCTGCATGAGATAGTTTCTGGTGCTCATGTCGAATTTAATGACAGCAGAAACCGCATTACACATCTTCCATGGACTTCTTAGAGGTCAGAATAAGTCATTGACCTAAAATGACCTAGGCCAACATTTTGTTTTTAGAAACGTACTGACTAGCGTAATCTTTGTCGCTTGTTCAAATGCAACACTCAGGGCAGTTTTCTATGACTTTGGTCACCACGACCTTCAAAAGCTCAAAGTTACTGACCTTAAATGAGCATGTGGTCTTTTGCTTACAAACAGTTTTCTAGGTTTTAGGTGCAATTTAAAGACCAACCTGGAATTTGACCTTGTTTGACTTTATTTGACCCGAAGATCATGACCTAGGAACCTCAAACTTTGGCCTAAGTGAGTTCACGAACTGGTCAAAACACCACGTGCATTTGGTGTCTCTAGCTCTCTTAGGTCCCGAGATCTCATGGGGACCGAATTGAACCCCACCCGAACGAAGGGTGTCTAGCCGGCCACCCGGGCGCGTGTTAAAAGTGTAAGAAGAATTGATTTCACGGTAGCTACCGGTTTCTGTTCTGCTTAAAACGTAAAAATAACAATGAAACGAGGAAAACCGTATCCCTTGTAAACAAGCAAACTATATCCGGGGATATGTTTTGGAGGGATCACCATAAAGGGGGGTTTTGTCAACCCTATATTCCTCTTAGCAAGGCTCTGGCTACACCCTGCCTACAAACAAAAACAGATCACGTCATCTACGTTTAATGACGGGCAATTAAATGTCCGCTGGGCCAGTTCATACCTAAAGTAGGCAGCTTACCGGCGGCCTTTTTCTGGAGTGGTGCGGTGTTAGGGAAGATAATTCGGAAAAACGCATTGTTGCAGGTGTCCAACACATGTCTTGCATCCCAATTGGTGCCGATGCTGACCCAGAAATGTGCAACAAAGCAGCCATACCATCAGTTCGCGGTCAGTCACTCGAAAACAGCCGGGCCAGGACGCTGGCCACCGACGACGGACGGGAGCAGAGCTCAGACAAGGAATTTATGACAGAATGGTCTCCATTCTGTAGCTTGGTTTTCAAGGGAGAATCTTCAGTTCTATGGCTTTTGTCACGTGGTTTTTATCAGTTTCAAGCTTCCGAATTTGTTTCCGTTTAAAATGCCGCGACAGGTCTTATCTTTTGAAAAGCAGCCAGCGAAATGAAGGCGCATGCGAAACCTGTTGCACTGTGAGCCATCGGTTTACTTTCAAAATTCTCACCAGCCTATGTACAGGCCGTATTTTGGCATCTATCCTGCGGAGACAGACGCCTCCTCAATGATCCAGAATGTCTACCCGCTAGTGGAATTTCGGCTTGCCCAAGACAGACAACGTTGAAATGGACGAATTACCTTGGGAACCTGGAAGGCCTTATTTTCCGAATGCCATAGATGAGTCGGATAGGTGAGTGTATGCGTCAGTACACTCACTGCTCGGGATGAGCCTTCCCAGGGCTGCGAACAGCTCGGAATCCGGCTTCCCAGGGCTGTGAACAGCTCGGGATCGGGTTTCCCAGGGCTGTGAACAGCTCGGGATCAGGTTTCCCAGGGCTGTGAACAGCTCGGGATCGGGCTTCCCAGGGCTGTGAACAGCTCGGGATCTGGCTTCCCAGGGCTGTGAGCAGCCCGGGATCTGGCTTCTCAGGGCTGTGAACAGCTCGGGATCAGGCTTCCCAGGGGAATTTCTTCGCTGAAAGGTCACGTCCCCCAGACAAAACGTGCGTACGGAATATTGCAGTGCACAAAATGGGGAAATGCATAAACATACATGACTTGCCAAAGCTAGAAGCAAAACACCATAATAAAAACGGAACAAACATTTAAAATCAGCAAAGTGTGCTTGTCTGTTGAACCAGTTTTGCAGACTCCTTTTTCTCAACTCGAGGAGCCTAGGAAGCCAGATGCGTGACGCCAGCTGTCTTCTGTGTGGGCTGAAATGCTGGTGATTTACGCGTGATGTGGTGGCGCAAGATTGTAGGTGCCCTGCGAGCTCGAACAAAACTGGTGACACATTGGTGAACCCCTATTTCGTCCCGTTGAAAAAAAATCGAATTTGAATGCAAAGTTCAAGCTCAGGCAAAGCGAGGATCCTAATTTCCCGTGTTCATAACAATTGCAACAAAACGTGCGTCACATTGATGCTCTTGAAGTTCAATTTAGCTGCAACCGAAAAGAGAGCTTTAAGGTCACGGTCACCCAGCTTTAAAGGTCACGGTCACGAAAAGCCGGGTGCCACGACATTTCTTCATCTTCTGCAGCGAAATTGAACAAACCGAGTGTCATGTTGAATCAGAATCGACTGGGACTTCGTCCCGAGCCGAACGTAGATCAGATCAGCGCTGCTGATAAACGCCTGAAGCCTGCGCACGGTGCGGGATCGGTATCTCGTGCCAGGACGAGAGGCTGAGATGCCTGAACGGTATCTCGGCCGCTTGTCTTGGCAGACCTCCGCACCGATGCTCCGTGAGTGCTGCACCGATACGCGGGACTCAGACTCCTCCCACCGGCCTTTCGACCCCCACCTCCTGCTCCGCTTCTTCCGCGCGACACCGGAAACTCAGAGCGCCCGCATGTGAGCACCCTTCGTGTGAGCTCTGAACTCCCTTGAACTCTGAACACATAACTCTAAACTCCATCGCTGAACTCTACACACTCATTGGTGCATTTGATGAAAAAACTGTTTGGGGAAGCACAAACAGCCCCTCACCAGTCTCCCCACCCATCGCCAGTCTCCCTACCCCTCGCGTCTTCCAGCCCCTCACCAGCCTCCCTGCCTCTCACCATTCTCCCTACTCCTCACCAGTCTCCCAGCTTTTTACGCCGAGTGGGTGACGAGAGCCGAGAGCCCCACCCAGAGCGTGATGCTCTCCGCAGCACACGCTGGGTCGCGCTGGGTGACGGTGGCTGGCCTGGCTCGCCGTCTTGTGTCCGAACGTGCGCATGCGCAGGCCACCGCCAGTGGTCTCGGGTGGCAGTCCCAAGCTGGTCTTTTGATCAGCACGCCTCGGCACTCTCCTCAGCATTGAGGCGAGGCAGCCCCCTGGCCGTGTTGCCGGTGACTCGCGGCTCTTTCTCCCGCGTATATGCATGTCGGCCCACGCCACCAGACCAGGGCTAACCCCTGAGTCTGCTCCGGGGTCAGCACGCCCCCCAGCTCTGCCGACTGGTGCACACGCTCCGGACACGTCGCCGAAGGTGCGGGAGCACTCGGGACTCAGATGGGGCATCGCCGCGCCTGAACACGCGCGGTGAGAGGTGTAGGTGTTCATGAAATTTAAGCTGAACATCCTGCACTTTTGGTCGCGATGAACACCACTGCTTGCTGCGGTTAAGGAGCCCAGGGTTGTTTTAGGGGCGAGCTGTGGTGTTTCACCGTGCTAGTCTCAATATATGTAGAACTGTGGATGGAATGATTGCGCGCACTTTCGTCTCCGCCTGGTATGCTAGTCAAGGGGGGGGGGGGGTTCCGCCCATCCACCACCCAAAGATGACTTGGGCCTCCCAATGGATGTGACCAAAAACGGGATACTCGACCAAAGAAGTGCAGACAAGCTATCTTAGCTCTCTTCTGCCAAATATCATCTCATAGGTATCCAATGGTTTTGCCATGCCAACCCCTTCATGTTTATGTCTGTCTGCGAATGACTGCAGATGACAGCACTTGGATTGAGAAAAGCATCATTTACTGTAATATGCGGCGGCTTTAAGAAGTACAGCCTGGCTCAGATAACACGAAGCTCGTGAACGTTTTACGTCCTGCCATTAAAAGGCTTTTTCGAACGCCACCGCAGTTTGAACGGTTTTCGAACCACCTCCAAGTTCACCACAAGAACTCAAATCACTGAAACGTTTCTGCTTGAAGTACACCTCATTGAAAGCTTTCGATAAAAATTGTAGGCTGCATTGCCTGGAAATTTTAAGTGGAAGTCTTTTGCGGAAAACTGATGTCGTCATCGGCATTTTGCTTTTCTATTTTACCCCGGGGATGCCAATTAACGTGACCGAAATCCGAGGAGAAATCGCGCGTTAGATGTAAGTTAGATCACCTTATGGGCTCGCCCCCCCCCCCCTCCCTGAACGATCGTAGGGAGTGACATCCCCGGCGTTAGTGAGGTAACGTCTCGCCCCGGGACGGCCCGGCCGTCGTCAGCTGTCATGGAGTCCTGAGACCGACCGGACTCGAACCGGGGTCGGTCTGCTTGATCGCGAGACTATCGCTCCTCCAAATGAGCCATATGGGGAGGACTCATCAGGACGCCATAGAGCACTGAATCCGCAATCGAAAGACCCTGGTTCAGTTCTCAGCGATTCTAGGGAGATAGTTTGGACCGTGATGCGGGCGTGGCAGTAGCCAAGCGCCATTCAGTCCTTCTCAGGATTTCAGGGCGCCTGACGACGAGCGGAGAGTTAATTGGCCGAAGCGCTGTGCAGCTAACACGCCAAACGAGAACGACACTCCGAATCCATCCGTGATATCAATATTTCGTCCCAATCCTTTGTTACACCCGAACATGTACAACCATTATGAAATACGGTGCAGACGCTCGCATGACTGTGTGAAGCTGAGAACAAATCTGTCAGCGATAACGGATGAACGGCACAGTTTAGCGCTACACCAGGCAGGACGGAAATGAGCCCATTTGGCCTCGGGGACGCACCGCTAGTGTATCAGTCTCCATAGGAGCAGCACGCCGCCGGCCGGGGCGTGCCGACGCGGAGCTGCGTCCCACAGGTGACCATGGGGGTAACCCCTGGGAAGGGTGAGGTCAGTCCCCTCTAGCCTTCACAAAGCGGCATTCTGACCCACATGTTTGCACATATGACCGTGTGTCACACTTTCCCAGTAAAAACATCATCTTGAGGTCTGGTTGTCCACTCCAAATTCCAGTTTATTACCCCCCCCCCCCCCCCCCCCCACCACCACCATGGTTCGCCCCTTTATCTCAGAGACATGGTGACACCCGTGGGTGTACTCGCGTGGATGCAAATGATCTTTGGTACGTCAAGTAAGCTATCACTTCTGCGCATGTCAGATTGCTCTCGGAGCTGCAGGCACGCGCTGGTAAAGCACGCACCGCGACACGCATCGGAATGAGATCCCTTGGCGGGAGATGGGCTGGGATCCCGGGCTTCCGGGCTCCTGTCAGTGCTCGAACCCGTGTGGCAGCCACTCGACGGCCACCGCAGCAGGTCAGTCCACGGACGGCGCTACGACCGACAGTGCGAGCCGTCGTTCCACCAGCGGCGCAGGTCGTCGTACCGCGCCGGCACCGGCCCGTCCGGCTGCAGCATGCGCGCGCACAGTCGACACCAGCCCTCTACCGGGCGCACCGTGAAGCTGTCGCGCCAGGCAGTGAGGCGCGTTAACGCCGACGCGTTTCGCGCCAGATGGCGCAGGTGCGCGGCCAGCTCCCGTGGGCCCGCGAAGTCGTCCACGTGCACGAACGAGTCGGGCGGCGCGACGGCGGCGTACGAGGCGCGCGGCGCGCCGCGCACCACCGGCACGAGGCCGACCTGCAGCGCACGGAACAGCTTCTCGGTGATGTAGTCCCGGCACAGCGAGTTCTCGAACGCCAGATAGAAGGTGTAGTTGCCGACCAGCTGGCGGAAGCAGGCCAGCGTGTCGCGCCGCTTTGCGGGGTCGCCGCACTCCCGCGTGCCGCACGCGCCGAACACGTGCACCGGCAGGTAGCGCTGCAGCTCAGCCACATACTGTTCGCGGCGGCTGGGCGTGGTGCAGTGTGACGCCACCCAGGCGACGGTCGGCTCCGGCCCACCAGGCGGCGTTGGCGCGCCGCTCGCTGTCGGTCCGGCCCCCTCGGCGGGCGCGACCGTCGCCGAGCGGTTGCGGCGGATGACCTCGAAGTACGGAGATACGACGTCCGAGTCGAGCCGGTACGTCATGGTGAGGTTGAAGGCCGAGTTGAGGGCGCCGAACGCCACGTTCAGCATCGGCGGCGCCTCGTGGGACCAAAACACATACAGCTGATCGACCGTCCGCTCATGAGGCACGTCCCACATGCTGATGTCGTAGCCGTGGAAGAGCACCGCTCGCGCCCGTGACAGGAAGCGCCGGTCATTGGTGCCTACGCAGTTGTTGACCTGTAAATATGGGGAGGTCATGGAAGAATTTACGGACATTCGAAACCAAGCGCGACATAGCCAACAACAATAATCAACTAATAATCTTGTTATCTAGTGCTATACTTAGGCCATCACGAGAGCCTAACCACCTGCACAAATTTATGGTATGCGGGGGTTTCTGGCATAAAACAATATCAGAGACCCACTGCATACCACAAACTTCACCAATGGAAGCTCTACCTTTACTTTAAGTGATCGTAAAATTTAGATAGTCAAATTTCCTCGCCAGAAACGCAAGCTTGCGTCTAAGTATGAGTTTGATGCTGACTGTCGTCACATGCGCACACACACAAATACAGGAGCAAGCAGCACATAAACCGACATGCATTGCATGACGCGGTGTGCGTCACGAACGCCTTACGAATCTCGCCGGTTGTCCTTTCATGTATGAGACAATTTCGCAACGCGGCTTGTAAGCTAAAAATTACACCTTGTAAAGCTAAAACGTACCGGACAGTGCGCGAATGGCTTCATGCCGTCGCCATTAACGGCGGCATGGAAGACCGGCGTCCAGTAGAGGACCAGGCTGGCATTGTCCAGGTCGCTGGACAGCTCCGGTGCCCGATAAAACCACTGGTGCCAGTAGCGGTTTTGCACCAGCCACCCCGCCGCCATGAAGTGGGGCTCCAGAAAGTCGTAGAACAGATATACGAGACATGCTGGTACCAGCAGCAGCAGCAAGAGACGCCGCCATCGTCTGCTCGGCACGTGCGCTCTGTGAGAACCTGAAATACAGGGTGTCATACTCTTTCGAAAAGCACCAGCACGTGTCCATGGCAACGATACCTTGGAATGAGATGAGACGAGAACACGCAGACAATGCAACGAAACTGCCACTGATGCGCAAGTTTGGACGCTAGGAGTCAATAAGGCAAGAAGTTTCGCTTCATGCAACAGAGAAAACCTTTATTGACTGTATAAGATATGAGAAAGTATGTATGTATATCAGAAAGCCTGTATACCCGGGGATCATTTCCGAAGACAAAACGAGCCGACTGCTCACCGGCCCAAGGACTTCGGTGCGCCCGCTTCTCTTGAGGTTTCTCAAGGATATCTTAGAACCATGAATTTCAGGATGCTACGATTTTTTTGTGACCGAGCTAGACTTTTTTGAACCCCTGCAAATATTGAAAGATTCTCCCTCCCAAAGGCGACGAATAATGATCGCTTTATCGGTGTCACGCCAGCTGTACTTTGTGTTCATCTGGTTCAGAGCAAAGACATTTGGCTCATAGCATAGATGCCTGGTTCATAACATAAATATCCGGTTACAACATCAGTGGCAGGCGTGCCGCACGCGGTCAGAAAGCACATGACAGACACAGTACGTGACAGACGTGCCGTGAGCTGTCGGACGCGTTCGGAAAAAGTGCAAAGCAGTCAAATTCGTCGCCACTGTGAGTGTTGGATGTCGCATGTCCAAGTAGATCTAAGATTGATTTATATCTGCTGGCGTTGTCAGAGGGCTCAGGCAAAGTGAGAGGATCTCCAGCACTTCAGTTCCAGTCCCTGTCGCTATCCGTCGCCAGCATATGTTTCCCTGGCCAAGCTCCCTGGCACCTCCTCAGCGAATGTGCTTACTTACGTGCTCGTGGATTATCACGATCGCCGCGCATTCGAAGCACGAAAATGTGCCCTGTCTTCCACCCGCACCTTTTCACTGAACTGCCGACACCCGCCGAAGCACGGAACACCTGTCCCCTCGCTGCGCGACTTCGCGCGAGCCACCCAAGTCACGGGCCCGTTGCGCTTGTGGTTGGCCATTCACCGCGCTGCGATAAGATAGGCTTTGCTTACACAGGTAACATTCAGTCGACGTTGCCGCCCCGGCGACGCCCGCTGGCGTGTGTGGTAGGCAGGGTGACGTAGAAGGGCATTCGTCCAATGAGCCATCGATTAGCGGCGGCGCGGCAGGCGTTCAATGCTGGAGGGCATTACGTCCCCGCCCGCGGTCCCCAGCGCTTGTTTATGCTGGGCAGCTAGTGTCCTGACACGCAGGCCCGCATCGATCAGGAGCCAGGGGGCCAGAGAGCTGATGCGGCAGCCCCTCTGGCCAGTGCATCTGACACCGGATTGACGCTGACTGATGCGGAAGGATCCCTTACCGGCGCAGGGACTCCAATGATTGGCACCGAGACACCGATTTGGCTGACCAGTCCCAAGTTGAAACGGTGTGGAGGTCGCCGCGCTTGGTTCTGGGGCCTCTGACCGACACGGGGCCTTTCCACTGACTCGGTATGGATGAGAGCTTTGGCATCTTCATTTCTTAGATCTCATCTACATGTGTCAAGATGGTCCCAGCCAACGCAAGACACTCTTTGAAATTAGGGGACCCGTCTCTGTTCGTATTCAGCAAATATGCCCCCGGCCGAACTGAGGCTCATTGCCGTCATAGGGCGCCCCGTAAAAAGGAGCATGCCATTTTTGTGTTTTTCACGCACTATTAGGTCAGACGCGTCTGGCTTGATCGATAGCATCGCTTTCTCGAAATCCTTCTGAAAAGCTTGGCATTTTATTTGAAGCAGTCTCTCCGGCGAGAAAAATGTCATTGGACTCCCTGTTCTTCACTATGAAAATGGTACTTTCCATTTGCCTTACTTTTTCCAACGTGCGTGCTCAGTAATATCTACAACAGACTAATTCGTCTAAAGTTTGCATAATGCATGCTAGATAAGCTTGAAAAAACGACAGCGTAAATTGGACAGACAACAATGGAGATAATTATCCTCATTATATCTTGATGGTGCTGCAATGACACCACCCAGTGTTTTTAGTGAACGTAGCTGGTCATTAGATTTCACCACAGAATGTTTTGCCCTCAATGCCCCAGTGGGCCACTGATCGATGCAAGAGATACTCTGACCGATATTTGAGGGCCTGGCCTTCGGACTGGGGTGCCTTTATATGGCCTCCGGCCAGATCTTCGGATTCTCCAATGGGTCTTCGTCGTCGGCCACAAGGAGCTCAAAGGGCTTCTTGAGACCTTCGGACATCCGGACCATAGGGTGGGCTACGTTCCCCTGTTGTCTTTCTCCCCCCCCCCCCCCCATGTGTGCGCCTCTGAAAGTCACGTTCTTGGAACTATAGTTCATCGTTAAAAATAAAGATCTGGGGACATTTTCGGTGTTCCTGGAATTCATGGTCATATTAAAATGAAGGTTTTAGCGCCATTCATGGTGCCGCCTGAAATTGGGTGTCTCTTGCAAATAAAAGTCACTATGCCACAAAAATGAAGTTGTTAGTCTTTGGCACCCTTTCGCCAAAAGGGCTGATCCGGGACTTCATCAGAGTGGAAGGAAAATCAATTGTAGCGCAACCCGGATTTTGGTGCTCTCAGAGAATGCAAGTTTCGAGGAACTTTCAATAACTAGCTTGAATTTGGCCTCCCTAGGGAATAAACATCGAAATAAAGAATTCGCTGCTCCCTCGCCGAATGGGTCGAGTCGTAATTTTATGTCCTCTAAAATTGAGTGCGCTTGGAAAGCGAGCTTTGTGATGCCTGAAAATAAATATTTGTATGATGCCTCAAAATAAAGGTTTTTTCGTGTCTCTTTACCGAACAGACCGATCTAGAATTGCGCCAGAGTGAAAGACAGAAATTGTAGCGTCGCTCGATGTTGGTCCACTTCTAAAATGATGGAGTTATGCAATTTAAATGGCTTGGAGTTGCTGCCTATTGAAATGAAGATGATGGTGGTGCTTTGCAACGAAGATTTCGATGTCCCTACACCAAGGATCCGATCCGGGATTTCATCAGGGTGGAAGGCGCAGCACTGTATGCTCCTCATATTTGGTGTCCCTTACGAATAAAGGCTCAGTGTCCTTTGTGATGCACTCTGAAATGGGGTGAAAATATAACTATGTTTCCTTCAAATGGAGAGTTTGGTGCTCCCTCAGTGCTCGGTGCTCCATCAGTGCTCGATACTTCCTCAGTGTTCGGTGCTCCTTCAGCGCTCGGTGCTCGCTCGGTGCTTGGTGCTCCCTCAGTGCTTGGTGCTCCCTCAGTATTCGCTGCTTCCTCGCCCATGAGGCCAATCCCGGCCTTCGTAAAACGAAATTGCCGTTTAAAAGGTGCGAACATTGTGGTGCCCCTGGAAATTGGTGACTCGAAAGTGATCGGGGGGGAGGAGGGCTTTGCAATGCTCCTATAATTTGGTGCCTCTTGAAAGTAAAGATGATATTACAAAATGAAGGTTTTGGTGCACTCTTCTATGGGATTTTGGTGCCCCTCGGCGCGCCAAAATCCAACGGGACCATCGGAGGACCGAAGCCGGCCGAACAGGTGCAACTTTGTGGCACAAAACGCAACAAAATTGAACATCTCGAACAGTTGCAAGCGTAAGTGAAGGGCCCACAAGAGGTTAAACATTTTTAATGACTGAAGGAGTTGTGACTTGGAAATTCCGGGCCCCATTACACCGTTAAGGGACATTTACTCGGAGGACCCTGCGCTGTTGCTGAACCCTTCCTCCTAGCGTGCCGGGGCACTCTTGTCAATCAAGGGCCCTTCGGATCCTTTCCACTCACCAGAAAGTCTCCGGGCTATGGCTGGAGCCCCATATCTTAACCCGCTGGAGTACTCTCGGTTGCTCAGGGTCCCTTTGCATGGGTCTAAACCTGCCGGCACACTCGTGATATGCTCAGGGGCCCTCCACATTGGTCTACGGTGCCTCCAATTCTCTGTCACTTGCTTAGGTCCCTACGTTTTTGCTGAGGGCCATCTGATATCCTGCTTGGGCACGCTGGGTCGTTCGGGGACCCTCCACGATGGGTCTTGGGCGCTTATTATCTGAATGGGGGGGGAATGTGCTACGCTCTTGTGGGGGCCTATCTGATAACCTGCTCGGGCACATTCGATCGTTCGGGGGCCGTTTTCATTGGGTCCTGGACACGTCCTACTTGAATGGGCCCTTCGCACTTGTCGGGGGCCCCCTCTGTTCGCCTCCGCGGTCACACTGGGTTGTTTAGGGGACCATACACCTTGGTTCTTGGTGTTTGAATTTAGGGCCCTGAGCTTCTGTCGGGGCCGTCTGATAACCTGCTTGGGTACATTCCATCTTCCATCTTTTGGGAGCCCTCCGCACTGGGTTTTGGGCACTTCTTATCCGAACGGATGGCCTAAGGCTCTTGTCGAGGCTCCTTCTGATAAGATGCTCGGGCCCATCCGATCGTTGGGGGACCTCTACGTCTGGTTTTGGGTACTTCCTATTGCATGGATGTCCCTGCGCTTTTTCGGGGGCCCATTTGTTCACCTGCTCCTGCGTACTCGATCATTCGAGGCCTTCTGCATCATGTCGTGGGCATTTCACATTTGCACGGAAGGCCCTACGCTCTTATCGGGGGCCTCATCTGTTAACCTACTCAGGCACACTCGATTATTCCGGGATTCTCCACGTTGTGTCCTTAGTACTACCTGTCTGAATGGGGGGCCCTTCGCACTTGTCGGGAACCCATCTGCTCGCCTCTTTGGCTACACTGGGTTGTTCGCGGGCTCTATATATTGGGTCTTGGCGTTTGAATTTAGGGTTCTACACTCCTGTCGGGGCCATCCGATATTCTGCTCTGGCACGCTCAATCAGTCGGGGGCTCTCTGCATCGGGTCTGGGGTGCTTCCTATTTGAGTGGAAGGCCCTCCGTTCTTGGGAGCCTTATCTGTTAGCCCGCTCGGGCACATTCGATTATTCGGGGGCGCTCCGCATTGGGTCTTGGGTATTTCCTATTTGAATGGATGGCCCTACGCTCTTGAAGGGTGCCCTAAATATCGACCTGCTTGCACACACTCAATCAGCTTTTGATGCCTGTCCTTCGACTCAATATACGCAAAATTCCGCACCACCACGCGAGTAAAAATAACTGTTCCGTGAGAAGAAATGTTAGTTAATAACTGCTACGACATACACGCAGCATATCCTTGCTCACCGCTCGCTAGCCAATAGCAGCGTTTTACCGGGCCCTGGCACCCCTGGCGCGGTCGGTCGACCGGCGCCTCAGGCAACTGTCCGCTCGACAACTCTTTCCTAGGTCCAAAGGCTCATTTGCTACATAGTCGTGCGCGCAAAGTTGACGGCACATGAACTGGTGCGTCGACATCTGCACCAATGCCGTTTATCAGCCGTAGGCAGCCCTAAATGACTTTGTTTGCCGTTTGCTTTAAAAACACCGTAAATAGCCTATTTGGAGACAACACCATTCGAGCTGCAATTTCTAAATGGGGTTGCATCGTTTTACACCGTCGAGCTAAGGGAACCAGACAAGGACCTCCAAGCAAACGTTAGAGCCCGATGGAAGGATAACGTTTCAAGCCGGTAAGATGTTCTTTTCTTAACCCACAACCGGGGGGCACGCGCAATGGGTTTACCTGCATGCTGGAAGAAAAACTAATTCCCCATCTAAAGGTAAGAAAATTTACCCCTACGTAGGGAGCAAATTAAGCGGGTTGCCCTTGAAGTGATGGTTATCGCCAAGAATAACGGCTGACGTCAGTGTGAATGAAGCAGGTAAACATGCGTGACGGGAGTAACATAGATGGATTATCACCTGAGATGGGGGTGCTGAACTTCAAGTGGAGGGGTAATTGCACCCATGGCTTGAGTGTAAAAAAATATATGTGCGTTACTCCTTCCAGAACCTGCAGCTGACGGGTTCAACCGCCGGCGTGGGACAAGTCTGCTTTCAGTGTGAGGAGACTGCAACGTCGGGCGTCAGGGGTTTGTTTCTAAGGCATGTGAGCGCGCATGTTCAAAACTGTGTTGCATAATATGTATCAGTGGCTGATCCTGACTGTAGATTTAACAGTCCAGTCCAGCGTGGGTTTGCCGTTTTAATACAGATCTGTGGCGCCATTTCGATCTACAGTCTAAGCACACGGGGTCTCAAACCTATGAAGGACGCAGAAAAAAACGACTACGCCTGAGTTCTACAATAGGGCCGACGGATTATTCCATTCAGACGTTTAACATCTCCTTCCTTCAGCTTACTGACTTCAGATAAACAAATAAGCACATTTCCGATAGTTTGCGAGTTCTGTTCTAAAAAAGTGAAAATAAAATTAAAACAAAGAAAACCGTACGTCTTCGAAAAGTGGACCATATTCGGATGATTTTTGTTTAGGGACGGCGGCTTTCACCATCAGGGGGCCTTCATCAACCCTTTTGCCCCTTTCCCCTCCCCCCATTTTACCAAAGCCCTGGCTGCACTTCTGGCCTTGGTGGTCACAAGGCCTCTGGTGACAGCTGTCACCAGGGGCTTGGTTTCGCTAAATGCGTTGGGGTAAGGGGGCTGAGGTGGTGGTTTCGCAAAAGAGATTGGGAAGGCTGAACAGTGAAAAATGACGCAAAGTACCTTAAAATAAGCAAACAAATGGGTATCCTCCAGGATTTCGCCCACTTTCTTCTCGAAGTTGGAGGGAGGGGGCTAGAACCCTCCCCCCCCTCCACCCCCACCCCCACCCCAATTGCATAGGAAACTACAACCCTGAGGGTCTGGTCTGAGCAATGAAAAAATACACAACCCACCCAACCTGTACGGGCAAGCAAGGTGACTAGTAAGACTATTAACACCGCGGCGTGACAGCTGTCACCAGAGGCTTGGTTTCGTTAAATGCGTTGAGGTAAGGGAGGAGGGTGAGATGGTGGTTTCGCAAAAGAAATTGGGAGGGCTGAACAATGAAAAATGACGCAGTGTACCTAAAAAAAGAAGGTTTCTCTCCAGATTTGGCCCACTTTCTTCTCTATGTGGGGGGGGGGGGGGGCTGAAGCCTAAGTTGGGGTGGGGGCGGAGGCTGAAAAGGAATCTAACTAGGCCCACTCCAACTGAACAGGAAACTGCTGCCATAGCTGTCTCTTCACGACAATGGCGTCTTCCACTGACAGAAATTTAGTGAGACAGCTTTTATAGCGTGGACACAGGGAGGCGATAGGACACGTAACTGCAATCAATGTGAAGATGATGCAATGCCACATTGGACACGGCATGTTGCCTTTGAGAAGCGACAGGGATGGAACTCATCGCTGCATTGCAATACCTTACTTTCAAGCGTTTATCAAGTAGGTCCACTGACATTTAGCGTTCGCGAGCCATCTGTTTTATGCCTAGGCTATCGGTAAGCTTTAGGTATACAAACGCCCCGTACGTTAAATGGCAGGCTGAATGGATTTTGATAAGTCTGGGTTGTTGGCGACTGTGGGCAAAGTATTGGAAACCGCTACCAGCGTGGGTGAATCCTAGTTGCAATAAATTGTGATGTCCGCTGTGTGGTTTGCATGACCCGATGCGTCCCGGTTCAGGCCCCAGCACGCATTTGAGGCTGGTTTAAGAAAAGACGACGCTGGTGGGTTCCCGGTCTGCTATTCGCGCAACCCAGGTACTGTCCGTAGATTACGTTACGCATGGCGGTGAGGGTGGAGTTTGATGGAGCTCAGCCAGAGCGAAACGAGGGAAGGGGCTGGATTTTGTAATGTTACGCTTAGGTATAGTTGCAAATCATGCTGAAGTATTTGTGAAACGTGACAGCGTGGGTAGGGAGATGAGGTTCTCGCCCAGCGTGATTAGTGCCCAACTAGGGGGACGCATAGGGGCAACCGGAGTATTGGTAAAGCGGAGGGGTGTAGGGTTGAGAAAAGGCCCCGTGATGTTGAAAGCCCCTTCCCCGCCGCCAAAAAGGGGCAGGGGATTAAGGGCCATTCCGTCCAGTGAGAGGTGCCTACCGGCTCCTATTCTAGGAGAGGGTCACTGATCGATCCGGAGGCCCTTAGAGGGCTTTATATACATTGGTCCCCTCCCTGATGCGGGAGGCTCTCTGACCAGGGCAGCTGGCCCCTGATTGATGCAAAGGCCACCACTGACGCGAAGCATCGCTTATAGCCGCAGGGATCCAACACTGTCGCGAACACCAGTCCGGTGTAACAGGGCCTCGACCCAAATTGGATGGACCGCCGTCGCTCAGTGCTGGTCCCTGACTGATAGAGCCTTTTCCTCATCGTGGACTCTCATCACAAGCTCAGATACATCCTTTCATTGTCCGACGTGAGTGTTCTCCTGGTCGACTCGAAGCCTCCTGTCAGGCGCTGGGAGCCACTCACCGACAAGCGCCCCTTATTGTTTCAGAGGCCTCGCCCAATACAAATCGCGGGTGTCGGCATCGACCCTGCTTGGACTCAGGAGTGAAAACCGACATTGAGCCGACTGTTCGCTGTTGATGGTCTCTGACCGAATTGAGGCCCGCATCGTCCAAGGGGTCCCCAATTGGTATAAGGGGCCCTCGGACTGATATTTGAGAACCGTACCCTACGGGCCGTGGTCCCAACACGCGCCCGGATGCCCGGTTCGATACCCTTCGCTCGGGTGGGGCTCAATTTGACCATCCTGAGATCTCAGGAACTAAGAGAACTAGAGACACCAAACTGACTGGGTATGTTTACATGTACGTAAGCTCACTGAAGTCAATGTTTGAGGTTCTTAGGTCATGATCTTCGGGTCAAATAGGTCAAACAAAGTCAAATTCCAGGTTGGTCTCCAAAGTGTTCACAGGACCTAGATACCTGTTCCAAGCAAAAGGCCACATGTTCATTTCAGGTAAATGACCTTGTTTGACCTCTCAAATGTCATGGTGACCAAAATCGTACAAGGCTGCTTTGAGTTTTGCCTTTACATAGGCGACAATGATAACGCTAGACAGTGTTCCGAAAAAAAAATGTTGACCTGGGTCCTTTTAGGTCATTGACCAATTCTGACCTTAGAGAAGACCATGGAATGTATAACGCGGCTCCTATTATCAATAAATTTGAATTGAGCACCAGAAACTAACCCATACACCAAGGACAAAAATAATAGAACAGGCTGGTTTTGACCTTGGTCTGACCACCCTGGCCCTAGGTGAATGGAATTTGCTCCTTCAATTTTTGTGTACCCTAAGAAAGTATCCAGAGATGCATGGCTTCGTCTAACACTCCGTTGTTACGTCAGATTAAACAATTCCCCAGAAATTGACTTCGCTGAACACACGGCCTGACTTTGACTTGCTCTGGGTCAACGATCTTTTTATAGCAAAGTGTCCGCTATTCAGTTGTCTACAGGTAAGCAAAATTTGGTGCGGCTACGCCGCGTCGTTCGGAAATAATTCTGGAGAAACCTTCGGGGAGTCAAATTGACCCTCACTCGAGCGCGTGTTAATATGACCCACAGCGAGCCCTTTCCTCGATCATCGATCCCGAGTGGGGGCCGGGACCCAAATGGGGGTGAGTACGTGCCCCTTGCCCTACCTGCCTGCGCCAGTGGGGGAGGGGGCTGATATTGACCAGAAATGCGTACCTCAGTCTGTGGATGACCTCCTTTGAGTCGGACCGTGCCAAGGTCGCTTCATGGTTTGTGAACGGTACATCCCTCTATACCTCACACCTCACAGCTGACCTTGACGTTTCCACCAGCTCTTGGTACCGAAGTATGGCATACGTCTCCAAAAAACGCCCGACGGACGAATCCATATCCTGCACACGAATGCACGAGCCTTCACACATTGACCTACACCTTTAGTAGTACGATCGTCCGTTTCCTCCTCCACCAGTATGGGGGTACTGATCTCAGTTTTGACACCACGTCACTGCGATACCATAACACCGAGACCTGCGGCCGCTTCCGGTCTGCGATCTGCTTTTCATGGGCTGGCAAGTTCACGTGCCCCATGTGAATCGAATGCACACGAATGCTCGAGTATGGGGAGAGGGGACAGCAGTGATATTACGTCGCAGAAACACACCGCGTGCTACGACAGGAACACTGACGTGCTCTGCCACAAAGAAGAAAATAGTTCTGCAAAGATTTTAAAGCATCCGTACTACGGTGAGTCTGCTATATAACTGTACGTCTCGTTGCTAAAACATCCATGGCGTTGCGATCATTGGCTGCAAGCGCACCGACACTGGTACTTTTCTTCAATAGTCCGCCACAAAGTCACCTGGCCGGGCCGGGTCACCGATGGTACGCAATTTCGGCCACTACACGTACCGACGCACTAACTCATTCGGCCCATAGTCCATCTCGCAGCGCGACAGCGCGCATTTCGGTGCGAAACGAAATGAGCGAAGAAACTGCACGCGTTTCCGTGAGAACTAGATGAGTGAAGACCCTGCAGGGCGCGAAACGAAAAACGCAATGCGGCGTGAGGGGGTCTGTGGCACATTCTGGGCCACCCGATAGTTGAAGATGGCCTCCCGGCGGAGGAAGCCGCCTCGGCTCCGTTCACCCATCACGCGACACACGGTCGCCCGCCCCTAGGTGTATTTCTCGTTTCGGTCAGTGAGATACTAAAACAGACACCGAGTAAAAACCTGCAAGCGGGCCTGGCCAATTTCCACCTAGACGAGTTCGCCCACAAACGACCACCAAACCGAGCGCACTTTGTATCCGGCGACTGGGGGCTGGCGCCACCGGCGGCGACGGCACGCCGGTCGGTCGGGTCGCGCCGGCGCGCTCCCGCACGGCGAGCAAACGCACGCGGTCGGCACACCCGGGCAGTGCGCGCGCCACGAGCGGGCTTGACGCGTCACGCGCGTGACGTCCGAGAGCCGTCGCCGTCAGAGACTCGTTACCTTAAACACTAAGCACCCGTGGCTGAGGGGCGGCCGGCTCGCCGCCCCCGGGAACGGGGCGGCGCGCTTGAGCGAACACAATGACGTTGGTGGGTTGCTTGCCGCTGAGATGCGCGTATATACACTGCCGTCTGCGGGCCCGGGGCGGCGCCCGGGGCCAGCGCTGAGGTGATGAAGACCCGGACTTGTCGACACACCCGCCCGCCGCACAGTTCACACAGTCACTCTCACCGCCCGCGCGCTCCTCCGGTGGAGCCCTATAAAACGATACCGCCGCAAAAGGCAGGCAGACAGGCAGGCATACAGACGTAAGGACACTTAATTAAGGCATCGTTGATGCGTAAGGAGTACGAGGATTGTAGCTGAACTGTACAAACACTACAAAACAGGTGAGTTGTGTGCCATGTGGGGCACTGTAAGGCAGTCACCGGCCGGACATAATTGTTTCGTCCAGCAGAGCAACAGCACCATGTAAAATACGCTCACTCCTACTGAGCAGAGATCAGGAAGCTTACGTACTCGCGAGATCCGGCAGTTTCCTTGAAATAAGTAAATGATCCACATGGTTAGAGAACCCCCGACAACCACTGCATACAAATGGCGTGCCATCGTAATTACGGCGCTTCGTCTCTTAATCACGAGGCATCGATGATTGGGTAACTTCGGTATCATGAGCACAATTCAGTCCCACACACATCAGGAACTACAAATGCACTTCAGAGGCAGTTCAAACTCAGATCGTCGTCGTCGCCGACTCTACACATAGTGAGCTAGTTACTGACGATCCGTACGGTTTCCACAGCATCGCGACCGGTCATGTCGACCCCCGACGCCCCCAGGCGACGCCTGCCTCACGTGTCAGACTGCAGCAGACCGTCGCCCGCCCGGTCGGAGACCCTGCCATCTATCGGGCCGACTGAGAAGCTGTCGTTGCCCGGGGCGCCGTCCGAGTGGCCGTCGCCTAGCGGAGCGGCTGTCAGGCGATCGGCCGAGTCCCCGGTCAGCGGGTCCGCGAACAGACGGCCGGCCGCCAGCGCCTCGGCCACCGCGCTGACGCCCATCTGCTCGATGTATTTGAGTATTTTGCGCAGCTCGGACTGCTTCATGTGCACGCCGTGTTTGTTGCGCAGGTGGGCGTTGAGGTTGGTGACGCGCGAGCACAGCTTGCGACACACCCAGCACTGGATGCTCAGCTTGTGCGACTCAAAGTGCTGCCGGAACGTCATCAGATTGGCGTAGGTGCGCGAACAGACGCGGCACACGAACTTCTTCTCCACTGAAAACAAATCACCAGCGTGTCAGGTTCACAGAAGTCCTTGGACCTGTGAAACGATTATATATATATATATATATATATATATATATATATATATATATATATATATATACCACTATTACCCTTTCATACAGCCACAACTGAGCCCAGTGCGAAGTTGCGCAACAAGTTGGGAAGGGGCTGAGCAGTACTAAATAAAGAAACCAACTGCCCAAACATGCCAACAGAGGAGTTTTCCAAAAGATTTGACACAATTTCTTCTCAAAGTGGGGGATGCCGCCGCAAAAACTGCACAGAGAACTGCACCACTGGTCTCACCGTCCAAAGAACATACATGACAGCACAAAAAAGTGGAAAATGCGTGAAAAGTATTTCAGGTATGAATCATAAACAGATGACGGTTTTCTATGAAAGCAGCGCAAACAAATGTCTGATTTGGTGCGATAGCTTCATTGACACACCCGAAGTCATTATATACCAACAGCCCCCATGTTTCTCGTCAAAGCATAATATATAATTTTGAGATAGTAGGAGAGGATCCTGCAGCAGGATGTGTATGAACAACGACATGATCAAAGTCCAGCTAAAGATGTCTTCAACTCTTTTAAAAATGTCAAGTATGTGGATCAGACATGGGATGCTCTATCTGCCACCAAATGAGTCGGAACACGTTGAAAGGCCGGCCAATGACAACATAGCTGCTGAGGGATTACGGTCTGTGGTCCCAACGCCTAAATGGCCTGCCCACGTCAAACCGCCTGCCAGCCCTGGCGCCCCCTCTGCCCAGACAGCACCTCTGACCGGGTGCTGACACTGACCCAGCCCTGCTTCCCCCTCCCCCTGCCCCGACAGCACCCCTGACCAGGCGCTGACACTGACCCAGCCCTGCTCCCCCTCCTCCTGCCCCGACAGCACCCCTGACCAGGCGCTAACACTGACCCAGCCCTGCTCCCTCCCCTGCCCCGACAGCACCCCTGACCAGGCGCTGACACTGCCCCAGCCCTGCTCTCCCTCCCCCTGCCCGACAGCACCCCTGACCGGGCGTTGATACTGACCCAGACCGGACCTGCCCAGCCCTGCCCCGACGGCACCCCTGACCGGGGGCTGATACTGACCCAGGCCGCCGCCCAGCCCTGCCCCCCCCCCCCCCCCCCCCCTCCCCCCTGCTCCGACGGCACCCCTGACCGGGGGCTGATACTGACCCAGGCCGGAGCTGCTCTGGACGTCCATCATCTCCGTCAGCGACTCGTCCGTGCCGGCTTCGAACGCGTCTCCTGAGAACGGCGGCCAGTGCTGAATGCGAGACGAGCCGGCTCACCGTGGCAGTCAGCGAACGTGGCGTGAAACGACGCGTTAGTACCACAAAAAAACAAAGGCACACGCATCGTTTCGTAAAAGACGTCTTTTCAAGATTTAAAAAAAAACGGTGGGAAAGTGCGGAGCAGGAAGGGATACAGATGCCAGGAATGGGCGTAATAATTGCTTTACTATAAGCTTGCCCGCAAACGTCGACAGCAAACTGCGGCATGACACCTGGCGGCACCAACCCACATCCAACGGTTAGACAGATCCCACAGCGTGCATCTTACTACAGGGTCGAGCGTGCAGCGTTCGTCTCGGCTCTGACCTCCGTTCTTCTTGGCATGTCCGCCGCCGGCCGGCGCGTCCTGCACCGCCAGGTCGTCGTCCTCCTCGCTGGCGGCGCCCTCCGTCCGCGTCCTCGTCGGCCGGCGGCGCGGTGGGGCCGGGCGCGGCCGGCGCCGGCTCCGGCACCGGCGCCGCCGCCGACAGCTGGCGGCGACGCTTGGCCGGCGGCGGCGGCGACGGCGGCGGAGAGCGGGCCGGCGCCGCCGCCTCGCCGCTGAGATCGGGCGACGCCGGACACGAGGTCGCGCTGAGATCTGTCGCCTCCAACTGCCAATACAGAGCGGGTCTCAGGTGCGCCGCCTCGAGCCGCAAACACGGAAGCAGTGCTCGGATCAGTGATACCCCAGCTACAAGCACGAGCGCGTGTTGAAATAGTCCCCCTCCGGCCGCCAACAGGAGCGTCAAAGTCCGACACCTTCAACTGCAGACACGACCACGTGCTCCTTGGTCACCGCCAACTGCGCACACGCCGCTAAGCCGGAATGGCTCCTCCAACCGCGAACACAAGCTCGCCCTATTGCGAGGCCTCCAACTGCGAACACAACTTCTGGATTTTCACGTCAGCCCCAACTGCGGACATATATCCGTGCTGAGGAACGGTCACTCCAAACACAAATGTGGGTCTTTGCTGAGTACACAAGCATTCGAATGCGAATAAGACACCCCGCTCAGATCGTGGACTTCAAGCAAGAACGTGAGCCCGTGCATCTGACACACGACTCCATGCTATGTCATGTCTGCTCAACTGCTCACATAAACCAGCCCACAATCTGCCGCCTCTAACCGCAAGTACAGGTCCCTGTCGAGACCCGTTGATAACGGCTAAAAACATGAACGACGAGTGGGGCGGCGGGAGACAGCATGCACATATTCGGCTTCAGAGCAGGGCGGTGGCGGCCGCCCTGCGCCACGCTGTGGAACGCGTTTTGCTCGCAGCGGGATTAGCAAAAGAAAAACGAATGCCCGCAGGGCACTGTCATGCCTCACATGTCGTAAGCGTGCACGGTTAGCCCGCCCGTGCCGTGCCCTGTATGCATGGACGACAATCTGCCCGTGTGTGTCCTGACCTGCACGTGTGCACGTGTGTGTCCTGACCTAGTACCATGACTCCGGGCAGCCACGCCGCAAATTCGCAATCGGGCGCCATACCCCACGTCAAAACTTACAAAACAGCAAATACATGTTGGGGGACGTACAAGGCAGTGACGTGATCGATTTCATGTGGTTACACAGCAGGGGGAAACACCGGAGTACAGCTTAACAGGACTGTTGTCACTGTCTTAACAGGAAAATCACGTCATAATCACATGACAACGGAATAGAGGTTGATGAAACACACCTCACGTGGCATATGCTAGCAACCCCGTAGCTTAGTTCTGTCGTTACATACGGATACATTAAAGCGAATAAACCTGAATACAAGCGAGCTAGTGGTAGCCGGGAGCCGACGCCATGTCCAGACATAGCAGTCCGACAAGAATAACAGCAGCAGACGACACAATTGGACCTACAGTGCCCAGATGCAAGTCTTGTGAACATTGTACGGCACTGGTCGCTCCAGCCTTTACTGGGCCCAGAGGCACGACCGAAGTTTGTCTGCGTCTGCACATGGACGTGGCGTTGCTCCTACCTGATGATCGTTCTGGTCCATGCCAGCATCCTTCGCCAGCCCTTTGATTTTGAGCATTTCAGCCACAGCCAGGAATGAGGTAAATCGGGTTTGATCCACGTTCACTTGACCACTGTAGATGAATTCGATTATTGCTACGAGATCGTCGAATTCAGCATCCTTGAAGAAGAACACAGGATCGCCGGGATGAGCCTGGAAATGAGACGTCATCACATCAGTGATCCAGACATGAAAAATATAGACTGTCCAGTCACGTTTAGGTGTTTATTTGTCCTGTTTTCCAACTCATCATTTGACAGCAAGGACCTCAGACAGCAGAAAGCCTTTCCAATTTTTGGATGTGCACTTTCACTGCCTGCTGAAGTGGGTTGCTCCTCGACTGGTCGCCGTACCAGCCCCATGACAAGCGTGCAGTGGCCACACCAGGCACGTGGCCAGGCGATAGGACCGGGGCTGTGCCGCCGGGTGGTGCCCCAGCACGACCCCGGCCTTGACCGCCAGCGGACATGCCATACCGACTGCCCCGTCAACAGGCACCGCTGTACCGTGTCATACTCGTGTCACACTTCCCCGGCGGTACTGCTTTCTCGTCCCTTCGGACCCACACACCATCCGCTTCACTTCCGCAGCCCAGAGCTACCCGACACTTCCCCGCAGTTCCGCGTGAGAGCCGACGGCGCCGGCGGGGCCGAGGCGACCACAGACACGCCCGCCGGCCGGACCGTCGTCGTCGCCGCCGGCGCTACACCCACCTTGAGCACCTCGCGGAAGTACGGACTGCAGGCGGAGAGCACGAGCCGGTGGGCGCGCAGCTGGCGGCCCTGGCAGCACAGCGTCACGTCTACCAGCTCGTGCATCTGGCGCAGTGTGTCCAGCAGCGACGTCAAGGTGCTGTGGTAGTTGTTCCACTTGAGGCAGAACCGCTGGCCTTCCTGCAGCATCTCCGCCTGCAGCGCAGAAAAGTCCACCGGCATGTTAGATGCCATTGCAGATTTAACGCATATCTGGCTGACTGTTGCCTCGGTTTGAAGATCTGCAAATTGTCACCATCTATGATGACCACCAATTATGCCTAAAGCTGACACATTTTTGTGGAAGATGCAGTCTTTTTTGTTGCTCCCTCCTGGAAAACAATGCTCACATTCTGTGTTCTTGAAAGCCCATGACACCATTTAAGATCTAATTGGACTGTAAATGGAACCTTTGCAACTCTATGGAAGAAACTGTACTTCATCCAAAACCTACATGCTGCAAAGACAATGCCCCTGGTCCAAAAGCTATGTTTTGTACTTGCTGTCAACATAGCAGTGCTGCTTTTACTGAAATACCAATACTGAGGTGCTAAACACAACCATTAAGTCACCAAGGATGTTCAACTTCTGTTGACATGCACAAAAACATGGCACACATAGTCATTCTGCTGTCATAATGATATAATCTCTGCAGTGTGAGCCCAGTTTTTTATTATTCTCTCAGCCAAGCAAAACCAACCGCAGCAGGCATGGCAGCACATTGCTACCTGTAACATCCTGAGTAATATCACCAGGAGCTGCTTGTGGCAAAAGTGGCAACTTTCCTCAGCAACAAGTAATTTTTACTAGTCTCAGGACATTTGGTCCTGAAGCTCCTTCAACTTCAAAATGAAATAATGTTCCTCAATGTCCATGAGGTACTTATTCATCAAAATTCTGGGCCATGGGGCTGGGAAGTAGTACTGGGAATAACATAATTAAAGGCCCATCCACAACACATCAAGCCTGTGGAACACATCAGGCAGATGTTGGTCGGCATGTGTCGCTCCTCTGTGCCTGACACAACCTTGCAATAAAAATAGTTCATTAGGCATCTTTGAGTGGGGATTGGCCATCAGCATGGCTTAAAAATCTGATTTCCCAACATAACTAATACCTGCTTGATAGCCTCACTAGCCAGTACCCTCTGGTACATTGAGGTTGGACTATTTTCAGCATAGGAACCCCTGACTCAAAATGCCAACAAAAATGACCTTAAGGCCTTTTGGGCTTACAGAAAGATAAGTTTAAGTCTCAAGTGAGCAGTACTGGCCTGCACTACTTGAAAATACTGCAGCCAACATTTTCAGCATATTGATACAACAGTGCTCCCAGACCATTTACATCAGCAATGTGTAAAAAGGAGCACATCATTAGTCCATCTATGATAACAGATGGAAGCCCATTCCCCATCAACGGCCTGCACAGAAAGTGCACAGCCAGCATAACTGAGTGTGCATTTGTCAAAGGACTTGATGCAACCCTTTTCATTGGACAGACTTGTCAGCAAAACTAAACAAAGCAAGATTTAAGCTTAAATGGACCATGTTGTAATACTCAGTATAGCCTTTCCTGTTCTTTCACATCCTTTGACCCTCCACACCCAAAAATAATTGTGACAAATGTTACAATCAGATGTATTTTTGTCACACCCTTAATATGAGGCAGCAACAACTGCATCACCCATATTAGCTCCCAGGAGCCATGGTACAGCTAGGATTTGTGCACCCTGCCCCTTGGGAGCTAAAGGTGCCAATTACTCAGTCATTAAGCCTGTTGACCTACCCAAGCCATTTGATATGGGACATCTTATTCCGACAATACTCAGACTGACAATAATGGTAAAATGGTCAAGAAAACATTGACAATGCTGGCAAAATTTTAAAACTTTGTCCTCTAAGCTTTAAGCTTGGCCAATATAGCCAATATCTCTTTGATCACAATGTTTTACCAGTGTTTGGTAAGCAAACAGTTGATTATTGTCAGATTAGAATATGACTACCCAGTGACAGGAACTGAACAATGTTAAAAACTGGAACTCAAGGTCTTTCTTGTTTATACCTGGCATCAATCTAAACAAAGAGCCACCACAACACACTTTCTTTCTATCAATGCATAATGCAGCATATTAGTTGCCTATCGCTGTGGCTAATCCTAACCCCCACTATGCCAACCTTCACCATACACCAAATTGTGCCCACGACGGCGTTCTCATGTTATTCTTAACCAGCCGTCGGCCACCGTGCAAAAGCAGTCCTAATCTAGTTATTTAGGTCATTAAATACCAAGACAATAATTGTGCAGGCAGCAGTACACGTGCCGCGCGAACTCGACACTGCCACCTTATTACGCAAGCACACGCTGAGTGACCAGGGTTTAAATTGCGTGCGAAACGGTGATGTTGCGCTGCAGGATTGGCACATACCTGTTTAGAGGTTGAGTTCTGACGGTGTACAAAATACCCGAAATAAATAACAGCCCAATGGAGTACTATCACTTAACCCGACCAACCGGCCCCACCACCCAGCCCGCGACGATTCCTTTGATGAACAGCCGTGCCACCGCACCACACCATTTCTGCCGCCGGCAAGCACTTCGACGACAATGACGCACGATGGAGAATGCTTCCATATCGCGGGATAAGAGTAGAGAAAATATTCTGCTCCGCTCTTATCCCGACAAAAAGTGACGTCTGATGTGTTGCGACATCGGCAGCATCCCATGCAGTCCGATGCGATCAAGGGTACTCCCAACATAGAAAGCTCTTTCTGACTACGTCCGGTTTGGTTCAATCCCTGCTTTCGTCTATTTCCGGCTCGCCCTGCGACCGTTCCAGCGGCCTATGGGGCCTTCCTTCCCAGTCCTCTACCTGGCCGCCGATTTTCCCATAAACGTTGCATGCCCAAGTGGGGGCGGAGTTTCACAAGATGAGTTGGGGGGCTGAATAGTGACTTATGACCCAACATACCCCGAAATATGCCAAAAAACAGATTTATCCCCAGATTTGACCCTTTTTCTTCTCGAAATTCGAGGGGGGGGGGGCGGCCGCTGAGCCCGAAGTTGGGGAGCTGACCCTCTCCCTCCAACTGAATAGAAGCTACACTTCTGACCCCAGGCCACATACCCCAAAGTGTTGGTGCAAAATATTCCCCAAGCAATGAGTGCTCTGTGTCATACGAATCCCTTTACGAAGGAGACAGGCGTCTGCCCGCCTCGACCCTTTGTCACCATAAGCGCAGTCAGCACTCCTGCCCCTACCCCTAGACCCACCTTTTCCATTTTTTACCTTATATAGTTCCTGAGAGACTTCAAAATTAGCGTGCTGCGCCCTCACTGATTACCATTCCCGCCCCCTTAAGAAAATCCTGGCTGCGCCCTGCTTGCCGCCGCAAGAACAACCGAGCGAAAGGGATGTGATAACCGTAATGGTTAACCGTGGATGTGTTAATGCGACCTCACGCACCACCTGGCCATTGGTCTAATTCAGGTCACCCAGGCTCTAGGACTTTTCTTGCGGACTTGGCATTTGAAGAACCGGTCCATTTGCCCTCATTTGCGAGGGCCAGGTCCGTAGAGTGAGCCGGCCATTGGCTGTCCGTCTTTTCGGTAGACGATTCACTCTTCGAAGTGGTCCTCTAGCCCGATCAGGGCAATACTGACGTGTGGAGAGTTCCCCTATCATGACAACACCAGATGCTGTCCTTTTGATCCCCAGTTTTTCTCCACCTGGTTTCAGCAATGCCAGGGACGCAGATGTACCGCTCTTGTTGACTGTGGCCGTGGCCTGTGGAGGCCGCTGGAACACGTACCGCACCACGCCGTCGCCTTCAGACTGCGCAGTGGGCTCTGCAGCAGGACGTCTGGCGACTTCCGAGGCCCAACCCAGCCGCCTGGGTGTTAACTGTAGAGCTCAGGCGGGCGCGGGCTGGTCGCTGAACCAGGTGCGGCACGGAAACCCGGGGTGGACTTCAGCCTCCGCCTTCAGCTAATTGGCATATGCCAAATCCACTTTATCAGCTTGTGCCAGCATTTGGTCGATAGTCACTTTACACAGATACCTAGTTCGGGAGCTGTTTTCAGTATCTGCCGTACGGTTATATGACTGGTGCCGGCTTCTTTGGCCATCTTTTGGATAACCCCTGATGGGTCCTGAGTGGTGACAAGTCTGACCTCTGCGATTTCCTCTGCTGTTCTTTTTCGCTGTTCCCTCCCAATGTGTCCTCTATGTTGGTTACGAACGGACCCCTCTGTCAGAAACTGCTACAGGCGCGACCATCATTTTTGCACAAGTACTTATTGTACTTGGAATTTTATGAGTGTTTTTGTGCTGCGACGTTTTTATCCCAATTACCAGAATCGAATGGCTTTTGTTTTTTGATCCGTCCTGAGCAGACTCCAACGCCATGTGATCTGGGGCGCGCCATCTTAAACGGGCAAGTCCTACTGAACGACACGAAGCACGTGCTAGTGTCGCGCGAGGGATAAGGGACTCGCGAGTGTGTCGCGCGAGGGACTCCGACATAATCATGATGGATCAGGGGCACCTTTCCTCCACAAACTATGATTGCGACCGTCAACTTTGTGGCAGGACAGCCCCATCCGTCATCACCGTGACATGGCGTCCTGTTCGGTCCTGACAAGGTCTTTTTCATGCCAGGAGAGATGGTAGATCTCCGACACTCCCAGCATACATGTTATGGTGAGGTTGTCGTGTTGATGGATCTCGTATTCATATCACGCTATTAATACGGGCTCCATGACAGCCGCGTGCCAGGGCACTCTGATGTTAGCATCAAAACAGTAGCCAACAGGATGCACAGCAAGTGTGTTAAGAAGCTCTGGCGATTGTGCGTCCCATGCTGTGTGTACGCTCTGGCCAGCCAACGCACTGTCTGCCCTAATGTCACGGCAGCCATGTGCAGGATTGGTACTCATGCCGGGTGTTTCCAGCGAGTTATCCTGACAAACTCTGAACACTTGCTTCACAAATAGCAACAAGGGATCACAGCACCACCGTCAGGATCTTTTGAGATTCACGTGCTCCAGGTCTCTTTAGATTCACGTGCTTACGAGTGTATGGCCGATGAATTGTCGAGGCCCCTGCGTTGCCACATGACCCAGCATGGTGCGAGCTTGGAAGTTCAGAGCTTTCCCACTGATGCACCTCTCATTATGGGAAGCCTTAAGCTGACCCGGCCAACGTGCTAGTGCAGCTTGCGCCGCCCATTCGTCCGCCTTGAGCTGACCCGGCCAACGTACTAGCGCAGCTTGCGCCGCCCATTCGTCCGCCTTGAGCTGACCCGGCCAGCGTGCTAGTGCAGCTTGCGCCGCCATTCGTCCGCCTTGAGCTGACTTGGCCAACGTGCTAGTGCAGCTTGCGCCGCCCATTCGTCCGCTTGAAGCACCTGCCCAGCGCGAACGCGTTCACGCCACCCATCTAACCCGAGACCTGTCGGAACCAAGCTAGCGTTTCAAAACTGACCGCTGAGATGCGCGTGGACCTGCGCACGGCGCTGACCAGGCGGCTGCGCGTCATCCGGTGCTGCCATATCCTCACCGCCGACCTCTGCCGATGTGTGCATCCGCCGCCACAGCACGCCAGTCACGTGACCGCGTCCCTGTCGCTCCAGACACACGGCGTGTGCCGCTCCGGCGGGTCGAGCCCGCCGCTCAGACCCGCCGCCGTCCGACACAGCACTGCGCTCCCACTGGTTTATTGAGGGCGGCCAGACGGCGCGGGGTCACAGGACTGGCCCGGCGGCCGGCGCTGAGCGCGTGCGCGCCGCCCGCCGGCCGGCGGCTCGGCCGCCAGTCATCTCTCCTCTAGCATGAGCGTCTCTTGGGGGCACAGCTTGAGCGCCTCCAACGACGCCGTCTTGTCTAGGCTGGATACCTGCCGGCGGAGGATCCTCACTGTTATCTGGGCTCAAGGGCGCGTCGACGGCTGCGGCCATTTTGCCCCCATCGGTGGAGGGTCGTCGCGGTCAGAGGTGGTGTAAGACATCGCGCGACCTCACGCCAGCCTGCTCTAGCTCAGTCGCACGTGACCGGATTGGAGGCGTGGTGCTTGAGATCAGTACACTGAAGTCGAAGTCAAGACAAGAGCATGACATACCTTTTGTTGGCGACATCAAAGACAATATTCTTAATAATGCTTCGAGATTATCTCGGTATTCAACCAATATAGTGTCATGTGGAAATCGAAGTTCTAAAGAAAGAAGAAAAATGACCGACGCAATCGAAATACTTTCAGATCGCATAGCTAACGCTCGATATGCTGTTGCTTTGATAAAATATCCTGACTTCTCACCCTCTCGTATAGTCGGATTTTGTGAAGCCAGACTTACCGAATGTTCCGATCGACTCAGTGACCACGACCAAGTAGCGTGTACACAAACCAGTCGCAACACATCAGCTTTCTTGTCTATCACCTTTAACCTGGACCTTCCAGGCCTTCGCCCTCTCCGCGGCGGTCACGTGAGCCAACGCCACATTGGTGGAGAGTGTATTAGAAACCCCTCCAGCTCCCACCCCGCTAATCTTTGACCGCACGACATGAAACTTGATGTGTATAATACCCGCCTGATTGACTTACGCGGAACATTTCAGGAGGTCACACCTCACGATTAAAACCCTGAACGTTTTCCACCAGTCCGACAGAAAAAAAAAACAGCACAGAACAAACAGCCAGAGAACGCAGCAGCAACCAGAGGCCCGGTTTGTCACTTTTTGAAAGTTCAAATTTGCGTCCGAACGCTGTCAGGTAGGCTCCCTTGGACGTCCAAAATGAATAGCTACAGCACAAACAGGAGTTAAAATAGTTGATTTTTGAGCATTATACCTTGATCGCGCCACCATGCACAAACTGCAACGCACCTGCAATGGATACATCTTAACTTTGACCCTTATTGCTGTCTCTTGAGTAAAAGTTCAAGCAAAACGTTTAAAAGAACACCCAAGTAAAAACCTTAGACAGACGCCATCCAATTCTGTCTTTATCCTTACGCTTAACTCTCTAAAATACAATGTGTTGACAAACCAAGTGGCTCCCATCGGCAGAAATCTTCAGCTGGTGCGGGCGATGTGTCAGGCTACATAACGGGGCCAGGACGGCCGGTAACATGTGACGTTCTGTACCCGAAGGATCCCCCAGCTTTTTGAGGAAGCACGCTATTTCACCGCAATATGTCATTTTTACTGGGTAGCAGTTGCTTCAAACGTTACTTACGTGCGTGAGTTAACCAGTTTTCACACAGCGAAAACGGAGGACGTTCTGAGACGCCACACCAATGCAGTGCAAATGTTTGGGCTCGTAACTGGGAGATCTCACGACAATACCCGAGCCGTCCCACGATAGTCGCCATCCCAAATAGTAATAGCGCAAACAAAACGTTTTCACAAAAAAATGTGTTCGTAATTAAGCGCAAAGGCAGTGGCCTAGGCAGGCTAGGCCGGTTCGATGCAGCTTTGTTTTGATTCATCGCACTCTTGTCACAGAGTACTCACATCTCTACGCGGCCAGCTGCTGATGAGCTTAAACTGGTCCATTGGAAATCCCTGTACAGTGACGTAATTCAGCAACACCTGAAACCAGCCAGTGTCAGTGTCAGCCGCTCTTCTCAGGCACACGGGACGACGCCGGCGCCGCCGCTCGATTCGTGTGAGCTGGGACATACTTCAAGTCACTGAAGAGCACCACACACCAGATCAACGCATACAAACCTTAAGTTCCCAAACACTACGAGCAGATATGGTTTCGTACATTCAAATGGTGTCAAGTTATGTAATGATCAAATGGTCCAATGGAAAAACCATGAGTCATGTGATGATCCAAATGGAGAAACAATAATCTCTAAAAAAACAGAACATTTAGAACCCAGAACAGGATCCGAAAAACTGTCCCGAGGTTGGCCAGTCACCAGCTGGTGCCAGGCAGCTGAGGGGGGGGGGGGGAGGCTGCTCCGCTCTAGCGGACCGTGCAGCAGCACCGTCAGTGACGCAGGCCAGCACAGGGCAGGTACCTACAATCCGCTATCGAACCGGGCTGCTGAGATCTGACAGCAATGCCGAAAAACGCACAAAAAACACAGTGGATCCTTGGTTTTTCAACGAGCGCGCGTGCGCCGGCGCATGCGCCAATCCATGCTTTTGGCAGTGCGATTGCTTGTTCTTATTTTCCGAGTCGAGATCAGTTGATTTCATTTAGCTCTGACGCTAGGTCGCATATCTATGGGTAGATTTCCGCCAATATTTCGACGATTTTTCAAGACATGCGAATTTTTCTTCCCCATCTCAAGTCAATGTAGAGCATTTGCACGTGACACGTGCGACACGCGACGGTGAGCAGAGCCACATTTTACAAGGATGCATTCCTGCACCAGATGCGCAACAACACTGACTTTTCATGCCCGCAAAAACAGTGTTCTTCACTACAGTCGTTACAGACATTTCCAGCACAGAAAAATACGAAGTTTGTGGCATGAATAGTTATCGCCTAAATTAATTCAAATTTGGTCCGTACATAAGGACTGTTAGTGTCGTGGCAGTACACGAAAAATCAGAATCTTATGAGCTTTCTTAGTTTCTCCATATTTCACGCATCATATGCGTTGAAGGCGCCCCCACGGCAGGGTTCGTGTGACCGACTTGAAACCCCTAAGTTCATACATGTTTCTTTCAAAACGTCTACCACATGTCTCAAAACGCTTCGAAGACAAGCAAACTGGTTCCGAGCTTACTTTGCGAGGAAAGACATCGCGCATTTACGGCGACGGGCCTGGGGCTGTCCGGGCCGTGGAGGGTCCGTTCGTGTTTTTCCAGCCCCGGCCGCCGCCGCCGTCGGAGCCGGCGTGAGCCGTCCGGCTCTCCCCGGCTCCCCCCCCCCCCCCCCCCCCCCCCCCCCCCCCCCAGCCTCCGCCGCCGCCGTCGGAGCCGGCGTGGGCCGTCCGGCTTTCCCCGGCTCCCACCCCAGCCTCTGCCGCCGCCGTCGGAGCCGGCGTGGGCCGTCCGGCTTTCCCCGGCTCCCACCCCAGTCTGCGCCGGCTCTCCCCGGCTCCCACCCCAGCTCCCACCGCCGCCGTCGGAGCCGGCGTGGGCCGTCCGGCTTTCCCCGGCTCCCACCCCCAGCCTGCGCCGCCGCCGTCGGAGCCGGCGTGGGCCGTCCGGCTCTCCCCGGCTCCCACCCAGCCCTCTGCCGCCGCCGTCGGAGCCGGCGTGGGCCGTCCGGCTCTCCCCGGCTCCCACCCCCAGCCTGCGCCGGCCGCCCCGCCCGCGGCCGCTCACCTGAAGCCGTTCGGACGCCAGGAAGCGGCGGCCGAAGCTGGCGCCGTCCGGACCGCGGACGCGGATGGTGGTGACGGGCGAGGTGCTGTCCTCGGCCGGCTCTGGCGGCAGGTCAGACTCCAGCGACTCGCGCACAGCCTGCAGCCACGCCACACAGCAGGTCAGTTCGGGTCAGGTCAAGGTCAGGTCGTGTCATACTCCAACGACTCGCGCACAGCCTGCCGCCACGCCACACAGCAGGTCAGCTTGGGTAAGGCCCGATCAGGTTAGATCAGATCAGATCAGGTCAGACTCCAGCGTCTCGCGCACAACCTGACGCCACGCCAGACAGCGCATCAGCTTAGGTCAGATCAGATCAGGTCAGGTAGACTCCAAGCGCCCCGGCCCGCGGAGCCGTCCCCAGAACGAAACTGAGCGCGGATGGATCCAGTCTGGGCCTCGAGATCGGCAGCGCGACTGGAATCTTCCTACCACGTCGCGGGGGACGTCGCACCGGCCTCTCGGACCGAGCCTCGGGGTCCCGCCACGACATCCACCGGCGACGAGAACGTGTCAGCAGCCGTCCGCGGCCGAGGAGGCCGTTCTGCCACACTCAATCGACCCGTCACGACGGGCAGCGCACCAATCACAAATCAATAAACACTAAACCAACACACAACACAAACGGCTAACACGCCCAGGCGCCTTCCGCTGCCGGGCGACGGCCGCGACCAGCCGAGCTCTGTCTGCGACCTGTCTCGGCCCGAGGGACCCGCCCGGTGGCGTGGACTGTCGCCAGACGCCGCGTGCGGGACGGCGCCGCCGTGAGGTGCCAGTCGTCGCGCCCGGCCACCGGACGCCCGCCGCCCCGCCGGCCACGTGCATCCGGAGGCATTGCGCACGACACGCGGCGAAGCTGCGTGGTGTAATCTCCCGTCTTGCAACAATTCGTCGGCACTAAGTCGCCTTTGCAAGGCATCATATATAAATACGGTGTGATTAAAAGTGATAGATTTATGAACGCGCGTTGTTCATGTAATAGCCAAGCGGCCAACACCCTCGGCTCCCGCGCAGGCGCTCAGGCTCGACCTCGGTGGCGCCACTATGGTCTCTGCGCCGTAAAAGAACGGGCGACAACGTGCATCGTGTTCCCTTTAAAGAAGCGCCATGTGCACACGTGCTGCGGTCCGGTTAGGCCGAACCCCCTGGCCGCCTTGGGTCAGGTCAGGTCAGGCTGCGGCTGTGACGCGACTGACGGCGCCAGAAACTGAGATCGAAATGCAGCGAACTTGCCTGACGGACCGCCTCTTCCTGCTGTTTTAGGCTCTCCTGCCGTTCCCGTTCCTTTCTTTCTTCTGTCTCCTGCTTCTCCTGCTCTTCTCTTTCAGCTCGCCGTGCTTCTTCTTTCGCCCTGGAAACGACCATTGTTTCATGTGCAAGGGCCCGGACACGGCCACCAGCGACAGACGAATGGCACCGACACCTCGACGTCGAGCAAAGACAGAACCGCACCGGCAGACGAGCTGGGGCGGCGCGCCTGCGCCCCGAACACCGATCGCGTTCGTCTCGCACGGTGCCCCTCACTAGGTCCCGCTCTAGTGCGACACCTGACACGACGGCCAGCAGCGTCTCCTGCTACACCAAGTCTCGCAGCGGGCCCGCTCCCGTGCCGGCGTCACGTCCTCACCTGTCGGCCAGCAGCGACTCCTGGTACGCCCGGTCCTGCTCGAGCATCATGTCCTCGCGCGCGCGCCGCTCCTCCTCCTCGCGCTGCTCGACGGCCATCTGCTGACTGAACATGTCGTGCGTGTGGATGAGCGTGCCCATCAGCTCGTTGACGGACGTGTCGCCGTGCACCGCCGAGAGCACCTCGGTGCTGCCGCGGCTGCGCATCAGCAGCAGCAGCAGCGGCAGCCGGTCGCGGTCCATCGACATCAGCAGCGCCTCGCGCGTGCGCGCCCCGAACTGTGACGTCACGCGGTCCAGGAACCTGCGCAGGCGGAGCGAGCGGGTGAGGGTCGGCAGCTGGCTCCGGGACGGCGCCAGGCGAGCGGTGGTCACGGGGACCGAGGCTCCCCTCGGCTCGGCGTATCGTATGTAGGTGCATATGAAACAATCGCTGGGAAGAACCTGTTCTTACGGTCAATAATTATTCAGGCTCCCCTAGCAAACAAGATATGCAACTAAAATACCGATGTAGGCAACCGCGCACATGCATCACAGAGGGGTGATCCACCGATGTAAGAAGAACGTCACTAGTCTGTAATCTCCCGCTTGCGTTCGAGGCACGCTTACCGGTTCTGGTTGCTGGGGAACGTGATATCCCAGCCCCAGACGATGAAGTTGCTGGCAAGGTAGGCGACGATCGACTCTGAGCAGAGCAGCTGCGAGCAGAACACGTTGGCCAGCACGCTGCCGTCGTGGTGCAGGTAGATCGCCAGCATTCGCCGCTGTCCGAGCCCAGGGCACGCAGGGTTACACGGCAGCCCGCTTGGGCGCCTGCACGTGCAGCACACACGCCGCACGGCAGGACGCGCGTCACGCTAACCGGGTGATCACGGCATGCGACCCCCCGCCCCCGCCCCCGCTCCCGTCCCCGCGCCGCGCCGCGTCGCGCCGCTGTGGGACGGACGGCGCGGGTGCGGTCGGCGGCGCCGGCGGCGCGCTCACCTCGTTGACGGGCTTGGCGCAGGCCTCCTCGGCCGCCTCTGCCAGCGGTCCTTGGTAGAAGGTGGGGTGGCACGGCCCGTAGCGGACCTCGAACTGCTCCGTGAAGTGTAGCACGCCGGCCAGCTCGTCCTCGGTGTCCTCCAGCACTGCGGCAACGGCGGCAGGCGGCTCAGCGCGCGGCGGCAGCGCAGCGCGCGTCCGAGCACCGAGCGGAGCGAAGCGCGATGACAGGCTCGCGTCGACTAACGAGGACATCGGGCATCATGACGGCGAGAAAACAGCCCCACAGACATATGCACAGGGACCAATCACTGCGCGCGAACCGAGGCCCACAAACAGGACCATCATCCACCGACAGGTCCGCTCTGAAGTTCCCAGCTGGAAAAACCCCCGGCGAGTGACAACCGGCGTTCTTCGGCGCCCCCGGCTCACCTAGAGGCACCCGTTTGGGCCGGTCCACGTTCACGAACATAGCGTCGTCATTCTCGTCGAACACCTCCGAGGCGTCCTGGTACTCGACGGAGGACGTGTCGCTGGCCAGGTCGACGGCGGGCATCTGCCGGCACCAGACGTCCGTCAGCCGCCGGCGCGGGGTGAGGGGCCCGCCTGCTCGTCGCACGCCCGGCGGCAGCGCCGGCGCCGCCGGCCAGCCACGCACGCCCCCAGCCCTCCCCCGCCGAGCGTGTACCGCAGCAGAAGCGTCGGCGCTGAGCGGCTGAAGCCGTCCGAAGCGACGGCTGCAATCATGACCCGACGCTGCTGAGGTCGGCACCTGACCTGGCATGATCGGCGGCCACGCAGATCAGAATACCGGCACGCCAGACTCGCCCTGGTTTCGAATCTTCGAATTTTTCCATTCCTCGAAAATCAACAAAAGGATCCTGCCAAAGGGCCGCGTGTTCCCTCGCCCGGGCGTGAAATTCCTTACCACGAGCGGCGAGGCCACGACACTGCTCCGCCTGACACAAAGCAAACGCTACGCATGCTAACATATTTTACACGATGGAGTAAAATCACCTTTTTAACCGAACCACTCGGTGAGTCAAGGCTGTCAAAACACGCTTTACTTGACCGGGACTGATGTGAGAACCACTCATGCAACCATGGACGGGACTAGATTTTAAAGATGGCGGACGAACCGCAGCTTGGTTACCTCATGGCCATCCATAACCGAAATAGAGGTCAGTCACATCAAGATGGCAACAATTTTCAGCCGAAGAGCACACGCGCTGTACACAGGCGACACCCTCACCCAGACGATATTTATCCCTCAAAGATCGGACGTCCTGATTGAGGGCGTGTCGATATATCAATATGGACGGAGAAAAACTGACACTGGATGTCAGCGCAATCAGATCGACCACGATATGACTGACGCGTTGAAAATGTCATCAGACTCAAACGCGCCAGCATTACTGGTCGCATGTCAGTAAACGTCAGCCAGGATATCTTAATTACGACTAGAAGTGGCCCGAGCGTTATTCGACCATCTCTTCTTACAACGTCTCCCAACCGACGATTTACTTCTATTCATATTCATAAGCAGCCAATGTATTAACGTCTCCAGTTTCTACCCAAGTGGCGTATTTCGCATCTCATACGAAACCTGCAGAAGGCGAATAAAAAAACAGACAGCAGGCCTAGCTGCTTTCCCTGGTCACCTCTGCCGCTTTCTCACATTTACCAGCTGAGCGCCCGCAGGTGCCGTGCCGCGTCTGGCGGGCGGGCGCTCCGGCTGTCCACAGCCTCGCCCCGTCCGCCGGCGCCGCCGGCACGCACAGCCCGGCCCGCTGACCGAACAGCCCGGCCAGGGTGCGTCCCCCGGCCAGGACGCGTCTCCTCGCTCCCGGACAGGACGTGTCCCCCCGGCCAGGACGCGTCTCGCCGCTGCCTGGCCAGAACGCGTCTCCCCGCTGCCTGCCCAGGACGCGTCTCCCCGTTGCCCGGTCGTCCGGTGCGGGCCGGGTCGGGTCCGGTTACCGGAGATCGATCGAAGCCCCGCGCCGCCGGCGGCCGCCGGCCGGCGGAGCGGCCCCTCGTCCCGCCACGCGCGGCTGCCGTCGCCCGCCGCTCGGCCCGCGACAAATGCGAGCTCGCCGCCGCTAACAGCAGCGCAGTGGGGCGTCAGCGACTGGGCAAGGCAACGGCAACAATAGCCGACCGTGTTACTGGAGCTTGATTCCCGGCGGTCCCATGACATTACGCTGTCACTGTCGACCTCATGAGGAGGCCCTGCCGGAACAAATATGGTCGATGCGCATAAAGGAATCCTCTGCAGGTGGGAATTCGCTGCATTTCGACATCCCTTTCTTCGAAGCCAGGGCCTACACGGGAACGCAGCAGCACCTCACCGCCGCCTTGATACCGGCAGCTTCACCACATCCACCGCTGTGGCTGCCGGCGCCTGTGTAACCCAGGCCCAGCCGCAAGGTTGCAAGCTTTACAGCACGTCGTCCATTCAAAGCCTTCGATGGCTCAGTCCACGCTACTTGAAACACGACCGGCCTAGCATTCCGTTGACCATCGTCCAAATCGGCGGCCAAGCCTATGAAAGAAACCGAATTGTGGAACATAATCGACGTTACCGAGCCCCAACGGCCGTGGCACGGGAGCATTCACGGCGTGAAAACCAGATTACAGCGGTCCTGGGTTACATTATCATGGTGCCGGAGTCACAAGAACCCTGGCAGCAGGCCAAGCCCGGCACAGAAGAGTGACCATTTTTACCATACCCTATCAAGCCCAAGCAGCAACACTTCTATCACACCACCGCCCCTCAGAAAGCACTTAACAGTCATACTGTGTCGCTGCCGGCGGACTCAGAGGTCAGTGAAAACGACTAAGCCGCGTCTGGGCCGTTGCCTGGCAACGGACAGACCGGCAGCTCCCGCGCGGTTGCTATGTGCCAAACATAACGCCCGATCCAGGACAACGAGCCAGCCCGCCTCAGCACCTGAAATGCCTGGGAGTTCAGCTCTCAACGTCCGAGCGTAGGCCGCCTGCTGCCGCCTGCCGAAACTTCGGCCAGCACAGACCGACCCATCAAGATATCGCAGCGGCACGTCGGCCCACAACACGACACAAGCGCGGCGTGGTCACTCCCGGGCCTGACCCTATCGGAAGCGTGACCGAGCCAGGAAGACGCGCAACGCGACATCCCCGATACACGAACGGCGCGGCCCGCCGCCCGAGCCGCGCGATAGCACGGAGCGTGCACGGGAGAAAGTCGGGTGCAGCCAGCACACATGGCGGCGGCAGGACGCCGATTCGCGTCAGCACTGGCGGGGAGCGGCCGGACCGGTGCGACTGCACGGCACTGCACGCCGCGGTGCGCGTCGGGGCGGTGCAGACGGCGGCCGGGTCCTCCGGCACTGCCCGTGACCCGACCTGACCCGGTCCGACCCCGCACCCGGCAGTCAGATGGAGGCGGCCATCCGACTCGTGCTCTGATAGCCTCGGGGGCGACAAGCAGGCGTTGGCTATGAGACGCACATTCCTCCGCGCCAACGTTTGCAGCCGGCTTAAAACCAGACGTTGGTTGTTAAATCTGGCTGAAGCGTCGCCACCCACCCGCCAGGAAACAACAGCAAGTCGGAAGCGTCTATGATCGGTTAGTCAGCCCAGTCCAGCCTTCGGCACACCCCTTGACAGCGGCGGCCCGACGGAATCATGTTCATTTTGTCATCACACAGCTGACGTTTTAAAGCCAGATCAACGACAATTCATTACAACACCACACCATGCTAATTCGTAACTTTGCATAATTATCGCGCACTCAAAAGGCGAGCATCAGTACCACAGCCGGGTTGTGGGACCCGAGTGAACGGCCACGCTCTGCCAGTACCTCCCCCCCCCCCCCCGCCACTGCCGACGGTTCACTTACGGACGCCGAGCTGGCCTGGGTCACGCGGTTGACCGACAGCGTGTGCGTCGTGCCTATTCCAGTGTCGGCCAGTGTGCTCTGAAACACAGAGAGCACCGTCAGTGGGGTCCGCGCCGCTCCGTCCACTGCCGCCCTGTCGCGCGCCCAGAGCCGGCCGCAGGGGACCACGGCAGGGCTGCACGGGCGCGCGCCGCTCCGTCCCCCTGCCGCCCACCCAGAGCCGGCCGCAGGGGGACCACGGCAGGGCTGCACGAGCGCGCGCCGCTCCGTCCCCCCTGCCGCCCGCTCGGAGCCGGCCGCAGGGGGACCGCGGCAGGGATGCAAAGGCCGCGGCAGGCCTCTGGAACGTCCCGGCCCGGGACTGCAGATTATCCGACGCTTTCGCAGAAACCACCTGCAACATATCCCATGTCTGGGAAGAAGCCAGGCGCATTGTCTTTTAAAGTTTTACGGAGGGATTGAGTGTCTAAAACCAACGTCAAAAGTGCCTAAAACCCAACTTCAAGGGTCATTTGAAAGTGGCGGGGCAGGACCCCAGGTCAACACCGCGGCGGACGCCGTAGAGGCGCTCCCGAGCGGGACGTCACGTGCCAACCGAAGTCAGTCTCATCAACCGCCTGCGTGCGGCCGTCGCTAGCGGCAGTCGCGGTCTGGTCGGTGGTGGGCGGCAGGCTGGTGAGTGCTCCAGGCGGCAGCAGCCGGGCCCCGGGCCGCGATGGGCACGCGATAGGCTGCGGACGGCTCTGTATTGGGCCGCCGCCCCGGCCGCTTATCGCACGGCGGGAGGCGGCAGTGGGTGGAGGGGGAAGGGGTGGGGAGGAGAGATGGAGAGAGGCGGAGGGGAACAGGACGAAGCGCAGCGAGAGACAGATGGACGGAAAGTGGGGGTGCGAGAGGAGATTGGGGGGGGGGGGGGATGAGAAGAGAGAAGGATTTAGAGGGCAGAGATGAAGGCACAGAAACACAGATGACCGGAAGACCAGAAGAAAGCACAGGAGGAAAGAACAGGTGTGCGGGGCGTATAGAGGGACAAGTGGGTCGAGAAGGGAGAGGGGCCGGTGGGGAGAATGGAGCGACACTTACGGCAGGAGCCAGACGAGCAGAGCTCGACGAGCGGGCACGAGAGAGAGGGAGCCGAGAGGGACGCGCGACAAGCCAACACGAGAAAGACGAGATGAAGAAGGGCTCAGGCGAGGAAAAACGGGGAACGCCCGCCGGATATGAGCGGCGACGGCGCGGCCCGTAATCCGTCTGGAGCAGGATATTGTGCGGCCGTCGCCGTCCGCTGGAAGCAGCCGGCGTCTGTTGACACACGTCCGTCGGCCGGGTTTGCCGTCCGCTCGGCTAATGGACATCACAGGGTGACGGCCGCCGACGCTGGCTGGCCGGCCGGCCGGCAGCCACAGCCGCCACCGGAAGCCAGGCCGGAGACCGGTCACGCCGCGCGCCGGTCGAGCAGCGTTCACTAAAGGTCACGCTCCGTGCGTCACTCACGCCTCGCACCGCCGCGCTAGGTGCCCAACAGACTGCCCGATGTCTGCGCAACACGCCCAGCCCATGATCACCACGTAACCAATAGGAAAACGTCATCCCGCGGCGACTCTCCCCGGCGGAAGACCGGCCAGCGCGGCAGCACGCCGGCGACCGTCCCGCGTCGCCGCGGCGAGCGCGGCCGTACCGAGTCGGCGGTGTCGGCCGGCCAGCCGCTCCAGCTGAGCTGGCGGGCCGGCGTCTCGGTGAGCGTCGCCACGTCCGCCTTCACGCGCCCGACGGTGGTGGCCGACGAGCACGGCACGCTGTACTGCTGGCCCGTCGCCAGGTCGTTCACGTTCAACAGGTACTGCTTCGGGCCTGACGAGCTGGCGCCCACGCTGAAGCTGCCGGCGAGGAGGGACGGCCGGTTAGCCGAGGAGGACGGCCGGTTAGGCGAAGAGGGACGGCCGTTTAGGCGAGGAGGGACGGCCGGTTGGGCGAGGAGGGACGGCCGGTTAGCCGAGGAGGGCGGCCGGTTAGTCGAGGAGAGAAGGCCGGCTAGCCGAGGAGGGACGGCCGGTTAGGCGAGGAGAGGCAGCCGGTTAGGCGAGGATGGACGGCCGGCGCGGCCAGTCGCGGCTGTTGTCACCTGCAGAGCGAAGAACGCCGGGCTTATCGCGTTCCGTGACGACGTCCGGGCTAACAGAGCAGAGCTTGTTAGTACGTTCGGGGGTCGTTGACGACGTAACCGCCAGCTGGGAAACGTGATATCAAAGACAGTAGAAGTGCAAAGGCACGCGCGCATCCAAGACTACGGCTAGCTAACGTCAGGCTTACATATCAAACATGTTTAGCTTGCGGCACAAATAAATATTCTTGCGCACGCACGTGTAGCTCTAAATTGAATGGGACCGTGACAGTGGATTGTCGTGACTGTGACCGTGGGTTGCTGTAAACTGTGAACACGGGTTGTCGTAAACAGTGACTGTGGATTGTCGTGACTGACCGAGAGTTATAACCTGTGACCGTGGGTTGTCGTGACCGTGACCGTGGGTTTTGTAAACCGTGACCGTGGGTTTTGTAAACCGTGACCGTGGGTAGTCGTGACTGCCATTGTCCATTGTCACCGTGGGTTGTCCCCTGACCACAGTACACTCGAACTGCTGACGAAGTCACAACGTCCCCTTTCCACAACCCGTCTGCACATCCCAGTCACAGACGTGATGAACACGTGTTAACATCACGTTAGCAAGCCGCCGCTTATTTCATTCAGCTCCAAACGTCCGGCCGCTTGGCCAAAAGTGGACTGATTGGCCGGCCTGACAATAACACGGCCTGACTGAAACTCCAGTGGGCGCGCTTATTCGGGCAAAACAATCGGCCTCCGCTGCGTCTGTCGCTGCCCGGCGGCGCTGATTGGGGCAAAACACGGCCGGGGCGCGTCCAGGCGGCCTGTTTTGCCGGCGGCGGCTGTCGGCGAGGTGTCGGCGGCCGCCCGCGGCGCGCTCTTCCCCGGCCCGTGTCAGCCGGCCAAGCCAAACAAACGGCGGTGCGGGTCAGGGCCGCCGGGACCGGGACCGGGACCCGGCCCGCTGGCGGGTCGGGTCCCGGTGACGCGTGCCCCCCCCCCCCTCCCCCCGCGTGACCCCGCAGGAGCGGGTGGGGGCGACCGAACACCAGCGTGGTGCTCCTCCCCCACCCGTCCGCGGTACGTCACCCCGACCCAGCCGCGTGCCGCCAGCCGGCACCCGGAGACAGCGCGCGCCCCCAGTGAACCCCATTGCACGCGGCGCTGGCGGAAGCCTCGCGGACGGTCGCGCCGGCCGCCGCCGGAGAAAGGCGGGCCCGGCTGACCCGGTTCTCCCTGCAGTGCCCACCCGGTTGCAGCGGCCGCAGTGGCCGGTCGGGCCCGGCCAGTGTGGCGCACACAGTCACCATGGAGCCACGCACCGTCCTGGCCCTCCTGGTGAGTACCTGCCGAGGCGGCCGGCGACGCTGGAGCAGTGCGGCCGGACGTCGCAGACAGAGCCAGCCCACGGTCCGGTCATAACCGAATACGCAGGCGGCAATGCCGGGCGGCGCACGGACTTGGCGCACGAGGCGCCTATGACTGGCTGTTGTCCCGTTAATACCTTTTTATTCTTAAAGGTTCGCTACCCCATATTTTTGATAGCGTGGATATATTCCATCATATTGTGACACTGTCCATCATGAGCCGCTGCATGCAGTGCCACGTTATCAGTCATGTACAAACGTACCAGAGCAATTATATCGCAAGGACAGAAAAGGAAAATTTAATTCCATCCTCCATGTTGCATGTTCGCGATCCCGGCCGCTGCAATCAGGCCTTCAGGCTGGCTGCCGACGCGGGAGTCGCACGTCATATATTCTGACATGCTGACGTAAAACCATACACCCAACGCGCGACCCGGGCGACTAGTCACCAGCCGCAGCGGCGGCCGACCGCGGGGGAGCGCCATCTCCGCTTACCGTCCGTCACAAACAATCGCCGAAAGAGGGCCCTTAAATTCCGAGCGTCGACGACAGATAACCACCGGCGGCAGTGCTCGGCGCGGCGGCCTCCCGCCAGCCCGCGCGGCTTCGAAAACAGCCGGCCTTCAAGCCAATCATCCGCCAGAGCGCGGGGCGCTCGGCGGGTTTGTTCTGAACAAGCAGCAGCGATGTGATGGTCGAAGGCAGTACTGAGGGGAGTCCCTTCTCGATCAATGCAGACGTGCAGCATCCAGTTCAATGCGCATGCGGTTTTGTATGTAGTTTGATAAGTACTTTTTCATGTGCAATGAATGCGTATCGTAAGGGCAATATTACGACTTCAGGCGATCTTTTTTCTAAAAGCACTGCGCTCAGGGGACCGGATTTCAGAAAGCTTTTGTTCAGAACACATTTTTTCAAAAGGTCGGCGTTTAGAATGCCTACATTAAGGAGACGCGTTCAAAGGTTTGATTTTCATGTGGCCTTCGTTCAGAGAGCATGCTTACACGTCTGTGTTCAGAAAGCCTTCTTCCACAAAAATAGGGTGTGACTAAACACAGGCCTAAGTCGACCCTTTGAGCGCAGGTCTTCTGAGAGCAGGTGTTCGGAGCGTAGGCTTCCTGAACGTAGACCTCATAAGCGTTAGCAGTCTGGAAACGGGCCTTGTGATCATAGGCCTCGTGAACGTGGGTTTTCTCAACGAACGGCCCCTCCAAATATGCCCTCTGACGTGTGAAGGTGGGTCTCCCGACCATAGGCTTTGTGACAAAAGTCCGTCGGAAAGTCCATCCTTCTGAAATAGTCCTGAAACTGCGCCTTCTAAAAAAACACTGGAACTTCTAAAAATAGACATTTTGAAAAAGACTGAACATAGGTCTTCTGAAAGCAGGCCTTTTGAAGAACGACCTTCTAAATAAACGTAAGCCTTCTGGAGATGAACGTTCTCAGCTCACCCCATTCGATGAAATACACGGATTGTGAGCAATCAGCATCAGCCCCTGCATGGATGTGCTTCCCATGAAATGACAGAGCAGTTCATGTTCGACAGTTGGACGGTTCGTTTAAATGTGGCAGAATGCTTTCTGACGGACTTCTGCACAGCCACCCATGAGCCGACCGGGGTACATTAACTCATCAATCCTTGACGCCGGTCTCCCGTTGCCGCGTCAGACTGCTGGGTCGGACGGGACCGCCGCAGCCGCGGGTCGCGATGTGACCCGAGGCAGCGCGTGACCCCTCCGCCGGTGACGCCGCTGCGCGTGCCCTGGCGTGGCGGCCGACGGCCCGCCTCCGTCAGCCGTCGCCGGTACGCTCCGCGGTGGAGTGGGCCCGCCCAACACGCCACACGTGCCAACGGACGGCTCGTGTCGGGTTTGAACGCGTGGCCGGGAGCCGGCACGTCCGCGCACACCCGCCTACAACTCTGCGATATTCGCCCTGCCTGGCTCCATTTATCCCTGTTTACTCCCATGATGATAAGAATTGTAGGGCGCGTCCGCTATTCGGTCATTTTGCGCTCTTATATTTGCTTGTTTCGTTTATTCCATATTGGCATTGTTTCGTATTGCATTGTGGTGTAAGTTTTGTCCCCACGTTAACGTAATACTGGCCCATCAATCATACCAGCTCAGAACGGAACCGACTTGGCTGATCGGGCAGCTGATGGACATGTGCACCTGGAATGTTGGCAAATGCATGCAAATACGACTGCTTCAGAAATGAAATAGCGATGCATGCAATCATGCACCTAAATCCACCCCCAAACCAAGCTAAAAGCATAATTTTTACATAAATATCCAAACCAAAGCCAAAAATACAGCCACGGGTCTCTAAATGAACCAAAGCCCAGCACGCACCGATCGCTAGGAAATTTTAGCCACGCTGCACTTGGTTAATTTGTCCACTGACTAAAAAAAGCGGGCAGAGCACCGTCCAACCAGTGACGCCGCATCGCCAGGGTGACGGGTGCCTCACAACACTACCGCGGGCGCCCGTCCCGTCTCGGGTGGTGGTGGCGGACCACCAGCTGCCGGGCGACGGTCCGGTCGCCGCCGCCCCATCTGGGTCATCTGCGTGCTGCCGGCGCCGTGGGCCTCATCCATTACGCGATGGCGAATGGCTGCAGAGTGTATCAGCGCACAAACAGAGCGGGTCGTCGGAGATAAGCCGGCCGGCGGCGTCTCCCCCCGCCCCCCTTCATCTCCCCTCCCCGCCCTCGTCTGTGGCGTCACATCGGCGCGGTCGCTACTGCGTCACGTAATGCGTTTGCCGGCCGCTCGGAGGTCGTGCGTCTCTAGTTCTGATCACTCGTTCTCCGGTTAGTAGTTGTATCCTTTTTTGACAGGCACGATCACTCCAGTACTTTTCAAAAGGGCTTACGCTCTCTCCAACGCACCGTTTTTGGACAAGTGATCTTCTCCCGGCTGCGTTCCCACTAAGCATTCCTGGCAGTCTGTCCGCAATCACCCGCCAACGAGCGCGACTGGACCGAACATTAAACGGAAGACCCCCACCATTACAAGGACTGCGGTGTGAGTACACCCCACAAAGCCCTCTGGTACAACTTGGGGCGATCCTGTCACCCGTTCGCCGCTCGGGCACGTTGCTGTGCAGCCCTGACCTTTTCCCCATGGCGGAAGTACGGGCCGCGCTGATGTGGGGCCGGTCACGGGCCTCAGGAGCAAACCTTGTACCCGTTCATACATTAAGCGAAGACACCAGCCACCTCTGCGCGAATCGCACCGATCTGCCGACGGTCAACAGCCAGAAAGAGAAAGGGGCGAAAGTGGACGGCTTTCCACGGGACGCCTGCTAAAAACCGGTCTGGTCAACTCTCCCGTCTGTATGCAACTCCAGATAGCTCCATACATTAATCGGGCCCGAGTGTTCACAACAGGTCCCCGGGAGAGCC